ACGTTTATTTATTTTTGGGACAGAGAGAGACAGAGCATGAACGGGGGAGGGGCAGAGAGAGAGGGAGACACAGAATCGGAAACAGGCTCCAGGCTCTGAGCCATCAGCCCAGAGCCTGACGCGGGGCTCGAACTCCCGGACCGCGAGATCGTGACCTGGCTGAAGACGGATGCTTAACCGACTGCGCCACCCAGGCGCCCCTGGGTTGTGCACTTTACACGGGCACACTTTACCGTGCTTTAACGATACCTCAATTCGAGACAGAGGGAAATGAGAAAAGAGAGGGCGACCATGGCCTCCTGGGAGAGCACACCCTCCTCCCGGGGCTTGCTTGCTTGCACGCCCACCTCGTGTGGTCTCCACGTGCCTTCTGACGCCCGGAGCAGGTGGACTGCCTCTCTGGCCCAGCCACCTTCCTCGAGGGGGAGTCCCGTTCTGCAGCAGGCTGCCACAGCACCGAATTGTTCCCTCTGCCCCCGGGACGCCAATCTGTCCGTGCACACCGACGACCCGGACCTCACTCCCTGTTTCCAGAACTCCCTGCTGGCCTGGGTCCCCTGCATCTACCTGGGGGCTGCCCTGCCCTGCTACCTCTTCCATCTGCGGCACCATCACCGAGGCTACGTTATCCTCTCCCACCTCTCCAGGCTCAAGACGGTCAGGGGGTCAGGGATCTCTCGCGGGTGGGGCTGGGACCCAGAAGGTTCTGCTCATCACGATTCTCCCCCCTCCCATCCCCCACCGTCGGTGGCTGAACGCTTTCCCAGCTACACCTGCCCCGCAGCTCAGGCCACGACAGCCTGCCAGCTGAGTCTGCGGTCAAACGAGATAGTCCCTGCTTGCGAAAGTTCAAGAAAGTTCTCTGGCAACACTCTCCCCGCCCCCAGGGCACTTCTGGCCAGTGCACCACCTAGCCACCGGGGCCAGACCCTGGGTAGGATAAAAGGACATCCTCCAGGGGCGCCTGGGTGGCTTAGCCGGTTAAGCGCCAGACTTTGGCTCAGGTCATGAACTCATAGTCCGTGGGTTCGAGCCCCGCATCGGGCTCTATGCTGACAGCTCAGAGCCTGGAGCCTGCTTCAGGTTCCGTGTCTCCCTTTCTCACTCTCTGCCCCTCCCCTGCTTGTGTGTGCTCTCTGCCTCTGTCTCTGTCTCCCTCTCAAAAATAAAAAATAAACATTAAAAAAAAAGATTAAAAAAAAGGACATCCTCCAGTGGGAACCGTCCCTACTTTTGAAGGTGGGGTTTCCACCCTGTGCCCTGTTTGTAGGCCTTGGGCGTCCTGCTGTGGTGCATCTCCTGGGCTGACCTCTTCTACGCCTTCTATGACCTGGTCCACGGCTGGGCCCCCGCCCCCATCTTCTTTGTCACCCCGTTGCTGGTGGGGGTCACCGTGGTCAGTGTGGGGCCCTGGGAGTTGATGGGGGAGGGTCTCCAGTGAGTTGTGGGACCGTGATAGGGGAGCCATGGGCTGCTTGGAGAGGGCCGGACACCTTAGCAGTGGAAAGAGGAAGGAGTGACCCCCAAAACATCTGGCCATGTGGGGTGGGGAGGACAGAGAAGGTCCAGATATCTCTGTACTCCGGCCCAGCCTTCCTTGCCCTCTCGGCACAGCGGCTGGCCACTCTGCTAATCCAGCATGAGCGGCTGCAGGGGGTAAAGTCCCCAGGAGTCCTCATCATCTTCTGGTTCCCGTGCGTGGTCTGTGCCATTGTCGCCTTCCGCTCCAAGATCCTGTCAGCCGTGGCAAAGGTAAGGGGCAAAAGGGGAACCTGCCAGGTGCAGCCCCATCTAGGGGATGGCCTCGGGGCTCAAGGTCACCGCTGGGTCCCAAGCCGCCCCTCCCCTGCTCCCAGGACCTCCCCTGCTGTTCAGTCCTTTCTACGTTGTCCCCTACTTGCTGTATCTGTGCTGGGAGGCAGACCGGGGAGCCGAGGGAGAGGGCTGGTGTCACACAAGGGAATGAGGCGGGACACGGCCATTGTGGGGCGTTCACCGGATACAGGGGGCCGTTCTGCCGCCACCGTGGGCACCGCCACGTGCAGGGTCTGCCAGGGGTCTGCCAGCGTCTGCGTATTGGACACGTGTGTGCGGACGCGCACGAGTAGTCTGTCCTACCGGGAAGTCCTGTTGTCCTGCTCTCCCCTTTTCTTCCCATCCCCCTCACTTCTCTGGTCTTCGTCTTGACCTTCCCTGCGGTGGTGGGGTGCAAGATTCCTCCGTTTCCAGGGTGGGGGGCAGTCGAACGTGGTAGTAAAAGTGCAGGCTCAGAACATTCTAGTCGCCCTCTCTGTGATCCTGGGCCAGTTGCTTCGCGATCATTTCCTCGATTGCAAACTGGATATCCCGAGATTTCCTACCCTGTGGGGAGGGTCAGACAAGGTGACTTCGGTGGGGTGCTTGGCGAGCCCTCACCGAACAGCGGCCCCCTTGTGACCTCGCCCCATCTCTCGGAAACTTCTGGGTCCTGCATCCCACCCCGAGGGAGCCTGGCACCCCAAAGGACCCCGTGGGGGGGCAGGACTGCAGGTCCAGGGTTGCCTGTGTCTGACGTCCCTCCCCACTCTCCCCTGCAGGGCAAGACCTCAGACCCCTTCCGCTTCGCCACCTTCTACATCTACTTCGCCCTGGTGCTCTTCGCTCTCATCCTGTCCTGCTTCAGGGCGCAGCCGCCATTTTTCTCCCCAAAGAATGTCGACCCTGTGAGTCTGCCGTGGAGGCCGGGTGGCCGTGGGGTTTCCACAGCCCACTCCTCAGCCCAGCCCTTACCAGCAGCTCCCGTCCCTTCCAGTTCCTTCCATCCCCAAGTCGTCCTTCCCTCCAGGAAGAAACGAGGGCCCCTGCTCCCTCTGCTCCGCTTCGGGAGGGTGGTGGGCACGCCAGAGTCTTCCTCTCCTACCCTCTCATCTTCTAGAACCCCTCCCCAGAGGTCAGCTCTGGCTTCTTCTCCCGCCTGTCTTTCTGGTGGTTCACAAAGTGAGTCAGCTCTCCCTCCGTGCTGGGCCAGAGGGAGGAGGAGAGGGGAGGTGGGGAGGAAGGGGAGCGGGCCAGAGTTGAGCCGGCTTGTTTCCCTGCCCCAAACCCTGACCCCAGAGGGCATTCGGGGCAGGCGAGGGTGAGGAAACCTGTCCATTTGGACCATTTGGACTGGGGGCTGAGTGTAGAGGCCCGGCTGGCCCAGCTCCCATCCCAGCCCTGCATCTGGGCCTGTTCACAGGAACAGGCCCCGGGAGCTAGAGGGAAACTGTAATTACTTCCGAGCTCTTCCATCTGGGATAAGCTTACAGCTTGTCATTTCCTTGGCGGCCCCTCAGTGTGGCTTGAGCAGGATAATCGTGTCTGTGACCTGGGTGACAGCTCATTAACCACACCACACTGAGGAGGCACCTGGGTCTGGGACTCCATCCACCCGCACTTGTCCTCTCCCCGGGGCCACAGTCGGTGTGAATTTCATCACCAAGGCGCGAGGGTCAACATGGCATCTGGGGAAGAGGTGGAGACGGGGTGAGTAGGGATAGGAACTTGGGATGGGAGGCAGTGACCTCCAGGCTGTTCACTGGGGCAATAAAAGAGACCCTGCCCGTGGCCACAGCCCTTCAGGGAGACTGGGGGCTCTGGAGACCCCGGTCCCTAGCTCTAGGCTGCTGAGCTCTGACCCTGCGTGGGCTTGCTGCCCGCCCCAGGATGGCCATCCTTGGCTACCGGCGCCCCCTGGAGGAGCAGGACCTCTGGTCCCTGACCGAGGAGGACCGCTCGCAGGTGGTGGTGGACAGGCTGATGGAGGCATGGAAGAAGCAGCAGAAGCAGCCAGCGCGGTGAGGCCCTCCCTGGGTTCCCACATCCCAAGTCTCCTGCGGGGGAGGCGAGTAGCCCTGACGCCGATCGCAGGGGTGGGGGTGGGGAGAAAAGCAGGTGCGGGTGGTCCTGAGGGGGGACGCCCGGGCCTGAGTGGGGCCAGCTCTCCCCAGCTCTTCTAATTCCAGGGAATAGCTGACACTTGTGTAGCACTTAGTCTGTCGCTACGTGGCCCTAAACACGTAGATTCACTCAATCTCTAACAGCCCTGCCGTGTGGGTTCTATTGTTTCCGTGTTACAAGTGGACGCTGAGGAGCGAGGGCTTAACAGGGCACGCAAGGTCCCTGAGTTGGTGGTGGCGGGGCTGGAACCCACCTGTGTCCGGACCCGCTGCTCTCACCACTGTGCTATCGTGCCCGTCCTGAAAGGTGTTTTCCAGGGACTTCCCTCAGAAGGGGAAGGGTCAGGGGAAGAAGGTTGAGGCCAGCCCCTCTTCTCAATCCCGCCTCCTCCTGTCTGGAGGAAGGGACCGAAGAAGATGATCCTTGGACTGAAGGGCCTTCCCACTGGCAGTTTCCCATCAAAGACCCAGGGACCTGTCTGGCCAATGGCCCAACCAAGAGAGCTAGAGCTCCGAGTCCTCCTTCCCTACCCATTTCTGACCCCAGGACTGAACCCCCTTCCCTCCCACCCATAATTGGGGACCCAGGACCTCCGTGCTTTTTCAGCCCAGAGCCCCTGATTGGCAGCTGGCTGGTGGAGGAGCCAGGGACTTGGACTTAGTCTGTGGTGTCTCGGCTTCCTTAGTTTGGGGCCTCGGAGAAGACATACGGGCCCCCCAGCCTGCATGCGGCACCCCCTCTCTTCCCTTCCATGCCACCTTTACCCTCTCCCTGCCCAGCTCTTCAGTGACCAGGTCACTCGCCATCTCTGCCCTTGTCTCCCTTTCCTGTCGGCATCCTCCCTGGAGCCATGCTGCGGAGGCAGGGAGAGGGCTGGAAATTGCTTGAGTTGTAGTTCTTGGGGGTAGTGGTTAAGGCCCGTGAGATAGCCTCATACGCCTGCAGACAGAGTCACTTGGGGAGTTCTCACCCGGAAGGTCATGTTGTCTATCCCTCTGCCAGTCCTAAGAGCCGAGAAAGCAGGTCCCCGCACCCCCTGCTCCTCGTCAGGCCCCACTGGTGCGTGTCTCGTGGGGCGCATGTGACCCTTCCTACCCACTTCTCCTTCCTCCCTGGACCAGACACAGGGCCGCGGTGGCATCTGGGAAGAGTGTGTCCGGTGAGGATGTGGTGCTGCTCGGGGGCCAGCCCAGGCCCCGGGAGCCATCCTTCCCGCGGGCCGTGCTGGCCACCTGTGGTTCCGGCATCTTCACGAGCATCTGCTTCAAGTTGACCCAGGACCTGCTCTCCTTCGTCAATCTGCAGCTGCTCAGGTCTGACCACACTCACTCTTGCTGCTACCCTCCTGGGTAAGGGGCGCCGGCTGGCGTCCCTGAGGTCTGAGTGCAGAGGGACACCATGGGAAAGATCCCAGACCGGGACCGAAGGGGCTCTCCCCACTTGCTGTGTGGCCTTTGGCAAGTGACAATACCCCTGTGCCAGAGTTTCCCCGATTCACATCCAGCTCATCTTCATCGCGTACGTGCTGTATGCCAGGCACCCTGGTGGGCGGATGAACAAACATCCTCTCTTCAAATCCCACCCCCACCTCCAACAATCCTACAGAGAGGTGCCCCTAATCCCATTTTACGAGAGAGAGGAAGTGGAAAAACTAAACGCAAAACGAACAAGGAAGCAGGAACTCAGAGAGGTGAAATTGCCCGAGGGCACACACAGCTGGTAAAGATGGACTGGAGTCCAGGGCTCTGAACTCCAGCCAGGGGGTCCTTGCCAGTTGATAGGCTCTGTCGTCTGTCCCATGAGTGGCCTCGACCAGGGAAAGCTCTCAAATCGGGGGGTAAGAAGGAGGGCTACCTCGCCGCTGAACCCCCCAACACCTTGTCCCTCCACGTGTGCATCTGCGTATTCTCATTCAAAAAACAGCTGTTGAGCCCCCAGTGTACCAGAATGACGCTAGATACTAGGCATGCAGAGATCTAGAAGACACGGTGGAAGACCAGTGTGGGAATCCATTAGAGCACTGTGCAGACAGAGGTAGACTCGGGTGTCTGGAAATCCTTAGGAGGGACAAGGAGGCCAGGCTGGGAAGGAGCAACAGCAGGTGCGCTTGCTTCCGGGAGGGGTCAGCAAGGTGGGAAGGACAGTCAGGTGTTGGTTGACTAGGTGAGGAAGGAGGAGAAAGTTCAGCGCACGCAGAGTCACAAAGGCCTCAGCCGACATGACTCAGGAACTCCGGGTATTTCCGGAGGAAAGGGTGACCCGAGGGAGGGAGAGAGAGGGAGAGCTAAGGAAATCCTTGGAAGATTTGAAGCCAGGGGAGGGGCATCTGGTTTGCATTTCAGAAGGACCCCTCTGTCAGGGGATGTAGGGCCAGGTGGCGGGATGGAGGTGGGCCAACGAGGTCAGAGGAGAGTCCAGGCCAGGAATGAGATACGATTCAGGAGCTGCTGGGGAATTGCCAGGGAGACGGAGGGGTCGTGGGCCACCCGGCTGTCGGATCTTTCTCTGAGATGATGAATGCAGCAGGAGGAGGGGGCTGGGCACCAGGCAAGGTGGTGAGTTGAGTCTTGGCTACGTTGGGGTCAAGGTGCTGGGGGACATTGTCCCAGGGGGAAATTCCCAGCTAGCGGGAGACCACAGTTTCAGAGCCATCAGGTAGAGGCCCAGGGTCCGGTATCTGTGGCTGGGCTCTCCCAGAGAACTCATGTCGGTGGCCCCAGACAGAGCCCTAGGGAACTGTGACCGGTAAGGGGTGAGCAGAAGGCTGGCTTGGAAGGGCGAAAGCTGGGGAAAGAGCCAGCCGTGGAACAGAGCACGGAGAATGCTTCTGGCAGAAAGCATGGCCTCCAGTGCAGCAGGTTGGCCGGTGAGATAGAGCCTGAGGGGGACAACGTGGGGTTTGTTAGTGCCGAGAATAGAGGCTGAGACGGAGGGGAAGGACCTAGAGCAGTGGGTCTGCCTCGGAGAGCAGGGGCCAGGGAGGTCTAGAAAGTTCCCATAAGGAAAACGCATTCATTTCCTATGGCTGCTGGGACAAATTGCCACAAACTAGGTGGGGAGGGGCCTTAAAACGACAGGAACTTACCGTCTCACAGTTCTGGAGGCCAGAAGTCTGAAATCAAGATGTTGGCGGGGTTGGCCCCTTCTAGAGGTTCTGAATGAGAATCTGTACTGTGCCTCCTAGCTTCTTGTGGTTGCTGGCAATCCTTGGCCTCCGCTTGTAGACACATCACCCCCACGTCGGCCTCCAGCATCCTCCCCAGTGTGTGTGTGTGTGTGTGTGTGTGTGTGTGTGTGTGTCCACGTCCATGTGCACATATCTGTGTGCGCACTCACATCCGTGGGTCTCTGTGTGCAAATCCCCTTCTCCTTCTCTTATAAGGACACCGGTCCCTGGATTAGAGCCCACCCGACTCCAGTAGGACCTCATTCCTAGCAGTGCATTAGGGAACCTATTTTGAATAAGGTCAAGTGCATGAGTGCAGGAGGTTAGGACTGGAACATCGTTTTTGGGGGGGAGACACAGTCAACTCGCAGCAAAAGGAGAGGCCTGTCTACACCTCGAGAGTAACTCATAATTCGAGGAGAGTTTGTCCCAACATGGAAAGAACTTGGTCATGCCGGTGGGTAGTACAGAAACCACCAGCAGGGATGAATGTTGATAGTCCCAGGGTGGCAATGAGGGAGCGTGTTGCTGAGCAGGTGGATGGGAGTCAGGGCTCAGCGGGGCAGGATCAGGCTCCAGAAAGCGGAAGAAGAGAGCAAGTGTTGGAGAGGGAAGTCCGTGGTTGTCAGGAGTTCTCAATGGGTGGAGTAAGTGGTAGGTTTCCTGGCCAGGCGGCTACTGAAGTGGGAGTGGGGTGAGTGGGGGCAAGTGAGAAGGTTAGAACAAGAGGTGCAGAGGCCAGGGACAAGTGGAATTAGCGCCCACAGAGAAAGGTCACCAGCAGCGGGGGCCACTGATGTTGGAAAAGAGCTGGATTTGAGGAGGCGTCTGTAGAGGTGGTGTGGTAAGTTCTGAAACGCTTCAACCCAGGAGAAGGTGCAGGAAAGTCTAAGCTATGGACCTAGCATCTCTTACGTGGTTCAAAGGCAGAAAAGAGCGAGCGAGCAGGCTTCGCAGGGAAAGTGATAAACAGTGGGCGCAGGGCGTGGCAGAGTGAGACAGAGGTGAGGGCAGAAGGGCCGGAAGATGGTGGGGGGGGGGTCATGGTCTTAAGGTGGCATAGGGCTGAGCCGGGGTGTGGGGGTGGTCTGGGTGGGGGTGTGGAGGGCCAGCAGCCCCTGCCTGGGAGAGTGGAGGCTAAGGGTGGGAGGGGAGGGCGGCAGTAGAAGGAGGGGCCTGGGGGACCCCTCCCCGCTCTCATGCCTCTCTCCTCTCCTTGCAGCATCCTGATCAGGTTTATTTCAAACCCCGTGGCCTCCACCTGGTGGGGTTTCCCGGTGGCCGGGCTGATGTTTGCATGCTCTGTGACTCTGCTCTCACAACAGTCATCTCCACTGTATCTATGTGATGGTGTTGAGGCTTCGTTCGGCGATCACAGGTGTCATCTATAGGAAGGTCCGCTGGAACAGGGTGCCGGGGGGCCTGGGTGTGAGTCTGACTCTCCTTGGCTGGCCGGCTGTAGTCGCCTTCCTGTGTGTCTGGACTCCTTCCTCTGTTTGCCTCTTTGTTCCTAGCTTTTGACATTGTCTGATGGCCGGGGGCTTCTGCACCTGTTTTCGTATTTGGCCTTTTTCCGTATGTTTGTTTCTATCTGTTTGGCTGACTACCGCTTCTTGCTTCCTGCCCAGCTCCACGTTTCTGATCCACAGGCCTCTGTCCGTCTGTGGGGGTCTGTGCACATTCTTTAGGTATTTGTCTTATCGATCCACCCATGCCTCCTCAGAACCTGGGTCCTTCCATCTTGGCTGGGGTGGCTTTAATCGTCTTGCTGGTCCCACTCAACGGAGCTGTGGCCATGAAGATGCGTGCCTTACAGGTAGGCGCTATCACGGGTCTGCTGCTCCTGCCTGGAGCACCCGGCCAAGGTGCCTGGGGGAGGGCCTTCCCTAACCTGGGGCCCCTCAGTTGCCTTGCTTACTGAGGAAGGATGGCTATAAGCCGCTTCCACAAACCTTAGCTCATTCCAACCTCATGACAGCCCTGAGAGGGCTCTAGCCACATTCTCGTGTAGCAGCTGAGAAATCAAAGCCCAGAGAGACAAGGGCAGTCCAGAATCAGGGCGAGCCGGGCCTCAAACCTGTGTCTTCTGGTCTTTTTTTAAATTTTTTTTTTTTAATGTTTATTTATTTTTGAGACAGAGAGAGACAGAGCATGAACGGGGGGAGGGTCAGAGAGAGAGGGAGACACAGAATCAGAAGCAGGCTCCAGGCTCTGAGCTGTCAGCACAGAGCCCGACGCGGGGCTTGAACTCACAGAGCGTGAGATCACGACCTGAGCCGAAGTCGGACGCTTAACCGACTGAGCCACCCAGGCGCCCCTGCGTCTTCTGGTCTAATGAGAGCCTTCTCCCACCACACTGTGCTCAGTGTAAATAGCCAGTCGTCCAAGCCTTCATTTTCAAATGTTTATTGAAGTCTTCAGTAGCCTCCCACTGTGCGTAGAATAAATGACAAACTCCCCATGACCACCCACCAGGCCCCTGCCCACCTGCAAGTCCTCACCCCCCAGGGCACGGCCAAGTGGCAGCCACTCTGGCCTTCTTTCTTTTCTCCAAAGCACCAAGCTACGCATACCTCTGGGCCCCCCCCCACCCACTGTTCCCTGCCATGCGTCTCATCCCTTCCTTGCTTGCTCACTCCTCCCCATTGCTCCCCAGCATAAACTCTGAGTTCCCAGTCCCCACCCCATTACTCTCCCACAGAGTCCCACGTACTGATTTACTAAGCATTTACTTAGTTAATGTTTGCTTCCTGTTTGCCTCCCCCATCAGACTGTCAGCTTCATGATGGCCGGGGCCTCGGTTGAGTTGTTCATCATATGTGCCGCATGTCTAACACGTGGCCTGGCACAGAGTAGGCATGCAACGAATAGAGCTGAATGGATAAATCAAGTCGGGCTGCCGTGCCCTGGGTTAGGGCCTGGGGAAACAAAGAGAAAGTTAAGCGGTCTGCACCCTCAGGAGGCCCCCAGTCTGACTGTGGAGTCCTGCGCGCGCGGGGATTTCCACGGGAACGAAAGAGAAGAACAACGTGGCTTAGAAACCCAGCAAAGGGGGCAGAGGATGCTGCCTGGGAGGGTCAGTGATGGAAGCACTGAGGTTGGAGTTGGACTCTGTGGGCGGAGGAGAGGGCGCACCTGGGCTGGGGGGCAGCACGGGCCATGCGGAAGGACGAGGGGGGGAATGGGAGCCGTCTGAATGGCTGCGGTGCGTGCCAGGGCATGGAAGGTAGGAGCCCCAGTGGGGAGAGGTCTGGGGAGGAGAGCAGGGCGTGTCACTGCCACTCTTCCCACGGGCGGAGCAAATGAAGTTCAAGGACTCGCGCACCAAGCTGATGAGTGAGACCCTGGGTGGCTTCAAGGTGCTGAAGCTGTATGCCTGGGAACCCGTTTTCTTGGGGAAGGTGGAGGGCATCCGGGAGGACGAGCTCCGGATGCTACGCCAGTCTGCCTACCTCCAAGCCATATCCACGTTCACCTGGGTCTGCACCCCCTTCCTGGTGAGGCTCCCCCCCGACCGGGGCTGGCCCCCCACCTCCCACCTGGCCGGCCCAGGCCTCTGGACTCAACAGATTCCATTCTGACACTCGCCCTCCACCCCTGCCCCTGTGACCCTGATTACCCTTGGGGTCTATGTGTCCGTGGACCAGAACAACGTGCCTGATGCCGAGAAGGCCTTTGTGTCTGCGTCCCTGTTCAATATTTTAAAGACTCCCCGGAACCTGCTGCCCCAGATAATCAGCGGCCTGGTCCAGGTAACCCCGGGTAGGGCTGGGGGTTCTGCGGGAGGTAGGGCAGGCTGTTAGGGTCAGGGGACAATCCAGGAGAATTATTGGAATTGAGGGGGCGGGCAGTTGGCATGAGGTCATTAGAACCAGGGGTCATTTGGAGACAGAGGAAGAGAGGAAAGGTCCCTGGAAACATGGATTCTGAAGACAACCTCCTCGTACCAACCTAGACCCTATTCTTGGCAGTGGGTGCCAGAGAAGACTCAGTCGTAGGGTGGGGGGTGTCCAGCACCCCGTCTGGGTCTTTAGGGGGCCCTGCCTCTCCCAGGAAGTCCGGGCCAGGCAAGTGTGGGAGCGGGTGGGGGAAGGGAGAGCTTCCTGGGCTGACTCACTCTCCGGCAGATCAGTTTGTCTCTGAACCGGATCCAGCATTTCCTGAGCCAAGATGAACTTGACCCCCACTGTGTGGAAAGAAAGACCATCACCCCAGGTCCAGACACCCTCTACCTGGGCTGCCCTTGCCCCAGACCCTGCTCCAGAAAATCTTCTGTTCCAAGCTTTTAACTTATCCGTTTCTTCTTCCTGTCTTCCCACCGGCCCCGCCTTCTCTCTCCCTTTGTGCAGTCCCTCCCTGGGCCTCCCCCACTTTTTTTTCCTTTCTTAGGCCTCCCTGCCCCTCCCCCCCCAAG